ACACGCTCCAGGATTAGCGGATGGCAGTGCTCACTTAATCGATTTCGCTTCACAGCTGCAGAGATAAGGTTAGCCAAGTCATTTTTAGCAGTTGATACCGCGGCATGGCTGTAGAGAATAATCGTTAATCACCGCCTTGGTCACGTCGTATGCTACACTTTCCCCTCGAGGGGAAGGCATTCCCCGTAAAGCTCCGTTCGCTGCCGTTACCTCTACCGGTGCCCCTCGTCCCTCTGCTTCTGCCTCCTGGTATCTCTGCCCCATTACCTCCCACAACGTATCTCTGCTCCCCGATCTCCCGTATTCCCCCAACGATATGATCTGGAAAGAGGGGAGAATATCGATTATACTCTGCGCTGCACTATATTCGTTCAGAGCGTGCGCCAGAAGGTATGGGATGCAGAGCGGCGAGAGTCAGAGAGATGAGAGGCATCAGCGTAGATAATGGCAGAGAGTGGAGGTTTACCGAGGGATATCCTCCCTTGAGGGCAGGTATACCATGCTGCCCGTGACTGCGGCTACATTCGAGATACATCTTTTTCCCATCAAATGCATTATTTACTCCCACATATGAGATGTTCAGCGCTACTCTAGCGCCGAATCACATCAGCACGAGAAACAGCTGTCAAAATCGTGACGAGAATGGATGGATTACGCTCCTGGACAAACTTCCGACCAAAATTTTTTTGATCTTTTGGGGCTTGTGTCATTTTTTGTATACGCGTGTCCCCTATTGTCGCAGTTCACCTAATTAACTAAACTCTACCATCCATTTTTCCTTAATTTACACTGTTCTGGCTGCTTTTCTCAAGATTAGTTGTTCCTTATCTTCACAAGGTAAATTATTATTGAGATCCCTCTGATTTTCAGTTATACTCGAAATCCCTGAGAGGGTAGGCGTGGCTGCGTGCTTCAAAAAACCTGAATGTGGCTGTGCTTCTGATGAGATATTTTCATCTTGACACAATCGTGGTCGTGCGTCTTTCCAGCATAGAACTGGATGACAGTTGTTCTAGAGTGGAAGATTCCAGAGTCACCCATTCCGTGCCATGTTCAAATGCCACGCCTACTGGCTCAGGGATAAGGAGTGTATATACAGGCATGAATTTACCAGCAACGACAAAACGCATGGAAGAAAGAGGGGAAGGCGAGTATTTCTCAAGGTTATTTTCAAATGAATATTCCCTCAACGCAGAAACTTTAAACAACATGAAAACTACCATAGGTGCCTGCGACAGGTGTCCATCTTTTGGGCTACTTCTTATTCCTGTCCTCCTAGAGTTCCGGCGACTAGGATGGGAAGATCTCATCTTTACGTCAACTATCAATGTTCTTATTTTCTAAGTTAATCACAGTTGATGAGTTGGACTAGTCCTTCTTTTGCACAGCTTCTCATTTCCATTTCTACAGAGCTACGGAAACTATGATAAAAAGAGGTGGACTTCATTCTCGAGTTGAGGTCGATTTTCGGAATTTTTGCTTTCTAAAAGGTGCGGTACGGATCAAAGGAGGTGGTAATCAGAGGCTGCTAACTTTGATAAATAAGCTGGGTACGGTCACATTCCCTGATCGAGATCCATGATCTTTTGGCGTAACCTGATCCCCACATGCGGTCTTCGCATTGCCTAGTGGTAGAGAAAAATCAGTACTTCTGAATGAATTCAAGTGCGACGTCATCCATGTTTTGAAGTTGATTAGAGCGGACTGTATTCCTTAGAGCTCTGTTAGTATCCAGCGATACTGCTTTGAAGTCCCGCCGATCACACACTGGAATCTTTATATCATGCACATCTGCTTTTGCCTAAGCCCTCTACTTTTCTCTTTGAGAGATCCTGCGAGGAAAATGTGCATGATGTACGCAAGGATTCACCACTCGCTAGCAACCACAAGATCTCACATATGTTCTTCCAGTGTGTACAAGCAAAAGAAAACTCAGTCACAGTCATTCGGTATGATATGTCAGTCGGGTCCAACTAATGAGGCATCCTTCACAAAAAATTTTCCCGATACCGAGATTGCGGAGAAGCATGGCGTCATTAGTTAGGTGGAGCCTAGAGGGTTGCCAAGTTACTGGGGGTTACGCTTGGCTGCGCCTCAAGAAGTTTGAGTCAAAGGCAGTCGTCCTATGCTGATGGCCGACCTATACATTGCCTACCTCCGAATTAAATGAGTGCAGCTTAGAAGCGTTGATGCAAAAGCTTCCCTCTGCCATGGCAAGCGACATCCTTCTCGAAGACAGCGGAGGTGGTTGCTCCCTCGACTGAGCCGGAGTCGCTCTATACGAACTCATAATATGTGATAGGTCGGAAAGTACCTCCTAAGTATACACCAATTTGCAGAAACCCCTGAGAACAGCCTCCACTAATCAGGGATGGACACATACAAAATGTTTTTTGGTCTTTCTCTAGAACACTTCAAACAAAGTGTCGCAGGATTTTCCGTTCAGCCTAATAGGTGCCTCCGGCAGCTACTACTGAGGGAGAAATGATTCTTCACGCTAAGGCAGAGTTCATACTTCAACCGTCGGTACGCGACAGAGCACGCCCCAGTACAGAGTAATAGCATTGGAGCGCGACAGGGCGCGCTCCAGTGCTATTACTTGGACCGCTCCGAGTGCTTTAAAGAAGGATCAAAAAATGTAAATTTCGTGCATTTTTTTTGCTTTTAATTGCAGTTGCCTCAGGTGCTAAAGCTTGGTTTGACCCAAAGAAAAGTGGACCCAACTTAATGGCTTTTAAAATCTATTTTCTTTTTCTGATTCAGGATAGAAATGAGCAAAGGTGAGAGTTTCAGTCTTATTGTTTCCTTTTTCATTCTTCCAGTCTATACATGAAGTTATGAAATTTCCTCCTCCTTGAAAGCAGTTGGCACGATAATTTCATGTACACCTTGGAAAGGAGCAAAGGTGCCCAGTAATGCAAAAATAGTGAAAAAACGGGGCGAAATGGTGGAGAAACAACGAAACGGGGGCTTTATTTCTTCGCTGCACGGCGACGTGGACGAGCGAACGGCTGGGCGTGCGCTGCTTTGGACGAGTCTATCGATGGAACCGTTTACTGCTGGCAAAAAGCCACGTAGGCAGGGGCGGTCCATACACGTAGGCACGGGCGGTCCATAACGGCACGTTCTCGTGCTGTGACGCTATACGTCCAATAGTAGGCAGGTGGGCGAGGTAGGTGTCCCAGTCGATATACTGCTGCTTGATAGGGCGCTATAGCAGTACCCTCCTCGAAAAATGCGCTACGCAGTGCCTGTAAGGGACACGTAATCCCGTCATGTCAGTCGTACCAATCCTACACGTCTTTAGAGATTTATCGTGCCAACTGCCTTTGATGTTGCATGAAAGAATTAGTGTTTTGGTTTCTAGGTGAAATCCTTCCCGTTTCTTTCTTTTCGTTGTTTGAACTCGACTTGAAAATACAGGGGGGGGGGAAAAAAAAGTCACTTCTCTTCATTGACTTTCGAGGCGCTATAAGTTACACTTCGTTAAACTCTGGTCGGACATTTTCACCACCACCTTGAAGAGCAATCAAATACTATCATGACACTCCGCCATAGTCTTCTGGACGACCGCCATCGTAAGATTCTGGCAAGCGACCGCGATGTGGTGCCTGAGATCAGCGAGATAGTCGATCTCTCCGCCACCGTAGACCACCCTATTGAACTCCGCCCGAACCGGGAAAATGAGGGAGTTTAGGTCAGGTGACCTACTTGGATATTCCATCTCCCTTAGTTACTCGACGCCCTTCCATTCCAAGTAAGCGAGAGTTTTTCCAACGCCCTGCGATTCCATGTGGTGGCACCAAATGCTGTAGCAGTACAAAGTTCCCAAGATGGTTGGATATTCTTTTCAAGTTGCTCGATGTAACCGCCAGCGCTCACCTTCAGTCCGGAGTCCACGAAGAAGATACAGGTCTTTCCACAACAGGTACGTCCGCCCCATACCATCAACCCGTCCTTGGCGACTGTAGTGAAGGTGATGTCCTAGACCGTGGCGACGTTGTCGGAGCTGCTCGATGTCGGAGGTCATCCATATCGAGAGTACTGGTCTTCTGGTAGTTATCCATGGGTGACTCCATACCAGAAGTTTCGCGGATGTTTGGAAAAGACGTGAATTTCAAAGGTCTTCTCCACTCAGACTGCTAGAGACTGGAGATGACTTCATATTTTGGTGTACATGAAGCTGATGGGCAGGAGGCATCCTCTTATCGAGGAACATCTTTAGTATTTTCCGCCCTGGCGCTCGTATCCACGTCCTCTGTCCGGGCAGCGAAAACTTTGCTGATATGTGACTCAACCGAAGTGACTTTTTTTATTGGCCCCCACCCCCTGTATAAATATCTGGGTAGTTGGAACAGTTTAGTCGGAAGGAAACTTTCAAAACACCTATATAAGTTGAAACAATTAAAACAAGAAACAAAAAACAAAAACAAGCTCACCTAGGAATTGAAGTTGCCCTTATGTCGACCTGAAAAAACAGATGAAACCCCCCCCCCTCTCTCATATGCAGATCCTATCAAGTATAGAAAGTTGTAATTTTTCAGTTAGAAGCCATTAAACAAGGTCTCACAAGTTGGATTTCCTAATTTAACAAAGCGAGCGGTCCGAGCAATGGCGTTGGAGCGCGCTCTGTCACGTACCGACGATCGCGGCGATTGCTGCTGCTGTCGCGAAGTATGAATGCTGTCTTAGGTACGCGGCAAGGACAAGAAACCACTTGCGAACGAGTTTTACTTTACTCCCAATGGTCCCTTCAAAAGCCCCTTTCACTCTGCATCTAGGCAAAAATGCAAGCGATTTACAGAGCATATAGGCTTGGAAGGAAGATTCTACACAGATTACTTTTTAGTCTCCTCTTTTAATATTTTCATAGGTATTCAGGACACATAGACTTCCGTGTGATAAATCACTGTGTGTGTGTGCCCTACACCATGCAAAAATTGTTTCCAAAAAGCGCTCCGCAGCTTAAACAACTTTCCTGGTACGTGTGCCGCCAACCGCTACGAAATGTTGCAAACATGAACATGAAAAGCATGAAACTTTATTCTGGAACGTTTAAGATTGCTATTGCAGCAAGTACCTATGCGAATATTAACCATAAAGAAGAAATGTCCGTATGATAGAAGAAAAAGAAACCTTCCACTGAATGAGTCCCATATACCGCCACCATTCTCATTTTCATCAGACGGAAAACTAGTCTGTCTCAGCCCTTTTCTCTTCGAAACATAAATGCGAATGGTACGCCCAGAAAACGAATCTGCAATCATAGATGGAAGGGTGGAGCTTCTGTTGTTGATTCTTGCGATGTCGGTGTATTCTATCACCAGTAAAGTGGTAGTGGCTAATCGACTGTGATATGGCTCTACGTGAAAAAATTGTAAATAATGCCATTTTCGTGTCAAAAGGAATCGCATACCGATCAGAACACGGACAGCACTGCCCTCATCTCCTTCTGAGTTGCTGTGAGCGACAATATCATAAGTTTCCTTGGACTTTCCTTCACGAAGTTGCAACAACCATGCACCAGGGTTTGCCTGAAGAAAAAATGATACCCACAGTGCATCTACTTCATTGCATAGTAGAATGGCTCTGCAACGACGACTATCTGAGGAAAGCGTAGCACACCCAGTCTAGTCACATACATATGTACTCTACAGGGAGGGAGGGCAAAAAAAGTAACTTCTCTTCCTTCACTTTCGAGGCGCTATAAGTTACACTTTATTGAATTCTGATCAGACATTTTTACAACCATTTCGAGGAGCATATTAAATGCTATCATGAGACTCCGCCATAGCCTTCTGGACGAGTGCCATCGAGAGATTCTGGCACGCGACCACGATGTGGTGCCTGAGATCAGCAAGATAGTCGATTTCTCCGCCACCGTAGACCACCCTATTGAACTACGCCCGAACCGGAAAAATGAGGGAGTTTAGGTCAGGTGACCTACTTGGATATTTCATCTCCCTTATGTACTCAACGCCCTTCCATTCCAAGTAGGCGATAGTTTCTCCAACGCCGCCCTTCGATTCCATGTGGTGGCAGCAAATGCTGTAGCAGTGCAAAGTTTCCAAGAAGGTACGGGCGACGACATGTGAGGAGGATATTCTTCAGAGTTGTTCAATGTAACCGCCAGCGCTCATCTTCAGCCCGGGTTCCACAAGAAGAAAATATTGGTCTTTCCATTCCAGGTACGTCCGGTCCATACCGTCAACCCGCGCCTTGGCGACTGTGGTGAAGACGACGTCCTAGACCGTGGCGACGTTGTCGAAGCCGCTCGATGTTGGAGGTAATCCAGATCGAGAGTACTGGTCTCCAGGTAGCTATCCATGGGTGACTCCATACTAGAAGTTTCGCAGCTGTATGGAGGTGACATGAATTCCAAAGGTCCTCTCCAGTCAGACTGCTACTGGAGATGACTTCATATTTTGGTGTACATGAAGCTGATGGGCAAGAGCCAGCTCCTGCTTAGCGAGAAACATCTTGAGTATCTTCGCCCTGGCACTCGCATCCACGTCCTCTGTCCGAGCAGCGAAAACTTTGCTGATATGTGACTCGACCGAAATGACTTTTTTTGGCCACCCTGTATACCCCGGAGATAGGGTGGACGTGGCTGCTTACTTCTTTGGAACACTGTAGCCGCTATTCACTCGTTGGGACTTTTTTTTTGAAGGTGTAATCATGTTTTTGTCATAAGAAATGATGATAGTAGACTCAAACTAAAAAAGCTCCTGAAATATGCCCCCACACCATGTTTCGACGAAGTACGCAGACAGGGCCTCACCACCTCCCTGGGATACGGCGTGCACCCATTGCAGCGCTCTTGCCCCCCTGTTGCTCCACTCATTGGATTTCAGGTCACATTTTGATTGAAATTTCCAACAGTGATAGAGTTGGCCAAAACTTCGACAGCGTGGTACTCTCGTCCCTGAGAACGAATACTGCATTCGCTTGGAGCGGGAAGGCTCTGGGAGGAGGGGGTAGGGAGCCACAGGTCAGTTTTGACGCCTGCGCCGGTGCCGTACGTACCAGGCTTTTAACGCCGATCTACCAGATTGGGAAGGAACAGATGAGCAAAAAGCATTCTGTGGTAAATCTGGATCAACACCAGCGTATGATATGAGCTAATATCTGTTGACATCAATATTCTTCTAGCAATGTGCAAGTAGGCCATAGCTGTCATTTGACCAGAACGTGGAGAGGGAAAACTTGCAGAATACATCGAGTGAACAGACCGCATTGGAGGTCCGCCACAGAAAGCTACTCCCTTTTTGTCGCAAACATAAATTACACTCGTATTACACACATTATCCCTAAATCCTCGAATCCCATTCGCAGCCTCACGGTGTCGTGGGGGTGAGCGGTTTCAACCGTACCAGTGCGTAGGGTACCACGTCAGAGGCCACAAGCTACGAGTGGTCAATTCAATCGTCGAAAACATTAGCAAATATGGGCCCTCATTCCTCTGATACCGAGAACCACCGACAGAGCAGTGTTGGTTGGGACCGCTCGGGAGAGGCTGCAAGAATCTCAGAGCCAATGGAGAATTGAGTCGCCCAGGACCATCTGTACTTTTGAAGTGCATATGACGATCTGTACATTTAACGCACAGATGCTTGCATGGGAAGCTCACATAGGAGATCTGATGATGCAAGCCATTAAGATCAAGTACTTTGTCATCAGACTGACCCAGATGAATAAATCGCCCACCCGAACATTTATAAAAAAACGACAAGCATTAGAAGTGACCTTTACTTATCCGTCAACCTGAAGTTTAACATGACTACCTCTCGTAATTGAATAAAGCTGCGGGCTTGTGATAGTTTGAAAACAGCTCCTGATAAAAGTGTTATGGATAGTTGCTGTTCAAGTATGAAACAGTAGCTGATAAGTAGTTCTCCAAAGAAGAAAAAAAGCAAGAAGAACCCTCAAGAACACCATGAACAAAATCGCTCCCTGACAGTCACACCGCCTTGCGGTCTCTGTGCAACCCCTGGCCCACAAAGCGCTTTATCGCATCTCCCAGAAGTGGATATCATCGAATGCGAAGAAAGGAATACGAAAAACACTACAAACACGGGCGAGAACCACTTAAAAAAAAGAAAATTTCAAAAACTCGGGTTCCGAACTTCGGGTACGGTAGTGTGCATCTTTTAGTGCATGTCGAGCTTTTGCACCACGAAAAATGTATCACTCGTGATTTTTACGCGTTTTACCTTGCGAGATGGGTTGCAGTTGGCTCGTAATGTATGAAATGTAATAAAGGAGAGCAGAATTATTTATGGCCACGAGCGTGGTCAGCAAAAAGGACATGCAATTCCGACTAATGGTCGCCGCACCAACAAAGAACAACTGAGCGGCTCTCCATCAGAGGGCATCTAGCAAGTGGGCGGTCCAACTAAGCGGGCGTTAGAACTAAAACTTTCAGCAGCTGTAGCTCGCTCCTCGCTCATTGTAGAGTCGCGAGAGCGGGACAGTCTCTAGCTTGGGGGCTGGAATACTTGAACAAGGAAGGACGACTATACTACTTGAACGCGGGGGCTGTTTTTAATACACGTTGCGAAACTGGAGAAGAATCTCCATCGTAACATGCGACAGCAGAGGCGTTGGCGGTGTGGGCGTCTTTCTCAAGACGTACTTGGCCACCAACATCAATTCGTACGAATATCTCGACCCTAATCCGACTTTCTATTGAAAAGATGTGGTTTGATTCCGGCTTTGACAATCTTCGTCGCCTACGCACAAACACCAACAAGCTACGACGAGGACGCGATCAAAGCATTCTATAGGAATAGGAGGAGTTGTACAAGCAAGACCACATCATCGTCAAGGTCATCGTCGGCGAGTTCAACGCTAAGGGACTTAGAAGACGGTCGAAGAACTCCACTCCGAAACTCACGGAATAGGGTGGAATGAGCAGGGTGAAAGGCTGCATGAGTCTATCACCTCGACCAATGCCATCCATGGTAACTAGCAGTTCCAAAAAGCTCCACTTTTTATGCAAGACATGGGATCTCTTGGTGGAGAGTTCTATAAAGAGATCGATCACATCACATTCAATTGAAGGTATCGCCTCACCGATGTCTTTGCTGTTTCTAATTTCTATACAAGATCAGAGCACCCTATTCCTTGCGCAGGATTCCGCTTTCCAGTGCGAGGACAGAGCCATGAAATTCAAAAAGCGGAGTTTCAAGATCGTCATCACTTCTCTTGCTGGGCTTTGGGATTATCTCGTTACAGACATCATCAACGAGGAATAGGAACAGCTTGCCGAATATCTTCTCGACTGCGTCAAGAAGTCAGAGGGTTCCAATATACCGAGAAACGTTTATCTCTGGACTGTGTTTCTGTACAAGAAGGGAGGCATTGGCAATTATCGCCCAGTCTGAATGGTGTCTGTTCCACAAACTCTTGACACGGGTCATCCTGAGCAGGATTGGCAGCACACTAAACGAAAGACAGCTATGTGAGTAAGCAGGGTTTCGGAGAGGATCCAGCACGATCATTCACATCCACACGGTAACGAAACTCGTTATGTCTCACTTTTATTGACTTGAAGAAAGCCTTTGACTCAGTTGACGCAGAAGCGGTTATCAAAGCCCCGGGTAACCAGGCTGTTCCTGCTCAGTACATCAAAATTCTTCGTGAGCTCTACAGCAACTTCATGACCAGGATCTCACCACTCCACAAGAAAATCGTGAAGAGAGGGGTTCAACAGGGCGACACCATATCGCCCAAGCTCTTTAGCGCCTCTCTCAAAAAGTTCATGCGTCAACTGAAATGGGAAGAAATGGGGGTGAAAATCAAAGTGCACCATCTCCGCTTCGCTGACGATATCGTCGTGATAATACCATACACTGAGGAAGCAGAGCGAATGCTGGATGATTTCGACTGCGTGTGGGAAAAAACCACATGGGGTGTGGGTTTGCGGCTGAATCTATCGAAGACGATGTTCATGAGGAACGGACTGGTTTCTGATGCCCCATTCTCGCTAAGCGGAACGAACATTACTATGCTCCAGTTATCTGCACCAGGGTCGGGAAAAATATAACGAACGACATAGCACCAGAGCTGAACAGGAGGAAGCGAGCCGCTTGCGGAGCTTTTTCAAGGACCTTGAGGGAGTAGCGAAGAAGACGAAGAACACCAGGCTCCGTGCCCATCTCTTCAATTCCGCGATCCTTCCTGCTTCGACTTACGCCTCGGAGTCTTGAACCATTGTTCCTGCGCAAGCCACCAGCTGAATGCACTCCAGGTTTCGCGCATCCTTCATGTCTGGCTATCTGTTCATACCTCTGTTACCACCAAACAAAACTCACAACTCTCGCCGACCGTGGAGAAAAGATCTTTTGCCACAGAAGCAAAAATTTTCCTTGCTTGAGTTGTTTTTCAAGTGTATTCGGTATGACGCACGCTTGTTGTTCACTTCGTTTGTTGTATTTTATCGTAACTTCATGTCACTTCTTTCTATACTCCTAAACGGAAATGCTAGAAAACAGGATTCGAAGACAAACTCGTCAGCATTGGTCAGCCTTTGTAACCCCAAAAAGGTCAAAGGATT